ATTCATATCTACTTATATTTATGTAATTAATTGTTTTAATGATTTGGCCGATTAATGGAAAAACAAATCGTCAGATTAATCGATTTATTACAATAATCGTTAGTTGCAGCCCTAATCAAAGATAATCCTGACCTGTGGTCATGAAAAAGAGGTCATCTGAGGGTTGCATTTTACCTGAACCACGTCCGTAAGCCAGTTATTTATATTTTTTAAATATTGTATTTGTTATTAAAATGTTGACTATTGTTGTCGTACTGCACCAGTCACCATCTACAGAAGCCTTTTGTACTGATTATTTTTAAATTTCCTACACCGTCTGTATTCTACAACATATTGTTTTCAAGCTGTGAACTTTAAGTAGGCCACAATGCAACATATTTACACATTTTTCACACATGAAACTTTTTCCAAAACCTTTCTGTCCCATTTTATTTCTGCAGTGAATGTGTGAAAYATTTTGAGACACAGCCTCCTGACCCCGTCCTGACTTGACGTCTAAAATCCACTCTTTTTTATTTTATTTTTATTTTTGGTTGGGTTTGTGTGTTCTCTGCCCGATGCAGCGGTTCAGGAGGAGCGTCAGAGGAACCGGGAGCGTGAGGGCGAGCTGGAGTTCAGTGTCGGAGTGAACGACGAGATGCCGGTGGAGAAGATCCTGGAGGCAGAGACGGCCGTGGACATGAGGACTGAGCTCCACTCTGACGGAGGCTCCGCTGGAAACTCGGTGAGTGTGTGGAACGTTTCAGCAAACACTTGTAAATGTGTTTTTACAAACTGTTCAAAATGTGCTTTTAGTAAAAGAAAAAAMAAMMAMAMMRAAAAAAGCAATATTGGAGCCAGTTTTCAGGAAGTCACTGTGTGTTTTCTTTGTCCTGTTTTAGCCTCATGATGCTGTTTCCAACATCTGTCAGACTGCAGACAAACAGCTGTTTGCTTTGGTCGAGTGGGCGAAGAGAATCCCTCATTTTTCTGAACTGCCTCTTGATGATCAGGTCATTCTTCTGCGTGCAGGTGTGAACAAACGCATTCACACACAAATGATCTGCACGTACTGTTAAATGCAACAGAAGTACCAACCGCTGCAGCATCACAGTTTAGCTCTTTTCATTTTTTTAAGAACAAAGACATTCAAATAAGGAAAGAAGTGAATTCGTACACAATGCTGCATGTATTTAAATTTTTTTTTTGTAAATGAATTTCCTTGTGAAGAAATGTGAAAAAGGTTTTTTCTTTGACAGGGTGGAATGAGCTCCTGATTGCTTCGTTTTCTCATCGCTCTATCCCTTTGAAAGATGGAGCCCTGTTGGCGTCCGAGCTGCAGCGTGACGGCGCACACATGACAGGAGTTGGAGCCATTTTCGATCGGTACAGTCACGGAAACAAAAACCATTCGGCACATTTAACAAGTTGAAAAATGGCCTGGCCAAAACAAATATTTTTAATTTATTGGAGCAGCTTTACTTTGGATATGTAATGTCACAACACTTATTTTTCATGCTGTCGTTTTTTAAATCCTGATGGTGCACTGATGATAAAAAAAAAAATCAGATGTCTGGATAAAGTTTTCTTCTAAACGTCACATAAATTTTCCCTCTGGTTAAGCATTAGTTCTTACTGGATCACCAGTAAATCCTGGCGTGATCAGTTTGAAATGTGTGTCAGGATCTTCAGAGGAAAAATCTGTTTGTGGAAAAGCTGATCGTTTAGTGATGATTCAGCTGATTGTTCTGTTAGGTAGCTGACCTCAGTTTTGGGTTCACAGTGTTACTGAATATAGACCTGAATAATCAGACTTTCATGATTAAGCACAAGTTTAAAAATCTCCGTCTTCATCTTCTGCCGTTTATCTGTAGTCGGGTGGCAGAAGCAGCAGGTCTAGGAGAGAAACCGTGACACTTTCCAGCTCGTCCTGGGGAACCTTTAGGCATTCCCAGGCCAGAGACGGTACAAAATCCCTCCAGCGAGTCTTGGGTCTTCTCTGGGGCCTCCTGCCAGTGAGATGTGTCCAGAACATCTCTAAAAGGAGTGCAGGAATCGTCCTAATCAGCAGTTGAACCACCTCAGCTGAGTCTTTTCAATGCAGAGCAACAGGCTCTACCCCAGGGGTCTCCAACCTTTTTTTTTTTCTTAAGATCTACTTTCACAAAATGAAATTGTCCAAGAGCTACTTTTTGCAACATTAAATTTTAAACTTAAACCATTGAAATAAGTTTGTTTTGCACAAAAAACATGTAGACTCCAGCAGGAAGAAACCTCATGCAGTGACATATACCACAGTGGGAGGGGTTTCCCAGGAGCTCTGCACAGTGTGTCTCAAAGGGCTGTGAAATGTGTGTGCAGAAACGAACTCCAAACAACCACACTGAGCCCTAAACTGATTGATTGACAGCCAATGGACAAGTAAATCAAGAGCATTGCCTTTCGAGGGGGTTGGGCCCCACTGTCGATCCATCCCGCTCCACCCGACCATCACTGGTAAACCAGACACCCAGATACTGAAGCTCCTCTTGAGGCAGAGACTCTCCTCCAAACCAGAGATTCCTCCCATTTCCAGTGATTTTAAAAATTGCAGAGCAAAAAAAGTGACTCTTCTGAAACCGAGCATCTTTTCCACAACCACAGGTTCCTCTAACATYGTCATTTAGAGAACAAGAAGCTAACCACTGCACAAACTTTTTAGAAGTGATTAATGACCGAGGAGGGGCTGTGGTAGCTCTGTGGTCAGTGCTGTGGTCTTATAATCCTGAGGCATCAGGTTCAGGTGGATAAATGTTTCATGTAGTTTGCTGTGTTTCTCCTGAAAGAAACACAGCGACAGTAATAACTGAGATAATTTGAGCCCTTTTCTGTTTAAAAAAGAAAATCCWGGTGTTGACTTTGTGTTGTTCAGGCAGTAAAATAACGCTTGTTTAATGTTGTTCAAWACAGGGAGAATGTGCAGAGTGCAGAAGTTGGTGCCATATTTGACAGGTACTTTTACATATCTGCAKCAAAGTGTTCTTAAATGAACAACGGCATATATTAATATTTGTGTTTGGGTTTATTCTGAAACATTTTGTTCTAAACACAGGGTTCTTACTGAGCTTGTTAACAAAATGAGAGATATGCAAATGGACAAAACAGAGCTGGGCTGTCTTCGTGCGATCGTCCTGTTTAACCCAGGTAGATTTTTTTTTGCACAAACTGAAATACCCTTAGCACAAAAGTAAGGAAATTAGTGTTTGGTAGATTATTTGTTGTAACAAGGCTTCTTGACAATAAATCTTACAACAGGCACTGGATTGACAGAACCTGGGGGGACCAGAAGCTTAAAACAAGAGTCAATAACAAAAGAAGCAGCTTGTCAGAGAAGATTTGGCTAATTTTGCTCTACTGCTCATCCCACAAATGCATGTTCCTTACAAATGTGGCACCATTTAAAAGATAAATTAACAAGCTTTGCTATGGGATAAATCTTGTGTCAGCAGGAATTGAATGTGAATTGCTCAGATTGTATCTGAATGTGCATAATTTGAAATTAAATGCACTGGTTTGAAAATAAATTTCACTAAACTGAAATTTAATTTAATGGTTTTAAACTGAATTTAAAGTTTTGTATCTGAATTAATTTGCTTTGAAACTGTATTTTGGTTTATTAAAAATTCAGTTTGACTACTTTCACTTTCAGTTCCATAATTGAGATTTTTGTGTGTCACATCCTGGTCCTTGAGAAAGCC